TTTACTGTTGAGAAAAAACACATCATAAAGCAAGTTTTTATGTCAGTTATTCTATAATATATAATTAGTATATTGCATCCCTAATTTTAAACCTGTTTTTCCTGTTTTTTTTTTTAAAAAAAAATTTAACGTAGTGAATATATTATTACAATATGTAATGTGTTGTCTCTACAATATAAATAATGAAATATTAAATTAAGAGTAAAGCATCAATGAATTGTTTAAAAAATCATGGAATTTGATTGGTTAATTATTATGGCCAATCACAGTTAGGTATAGCATGTCTGAACTAATTTAATTGGTAGACTTTATGATCACATAGTTTATTCATACCACGAATATTTTGTCGCATCCTTTCTATTTCTTCGGGCTAAATTTCTGGTCATCTCACGATTTTTTTGTCAGGATTTTGATCCAGATTGGTATAAATATCTACTTAGAATATATGAATTTTAAAATGTAATTCATTACTCTATAAACATAATTTATAACATTTCTGGTGGATAAAAATTTTAATTTTTATTCACTAACAACAAAAAAATTTTTCGCTACAACAAAAAATCGTAAAATCATTACAACTATAAATGTAGCTACAAAAAAAAATTTAACCTAAAATTCCTGTAAAAATTCCTACAAAAAAATATTAACTAAAATTTTATAAAAATATATTTTGAAAACAACAACATAGAAGTCATTTTTTGAACAAAATCATGCAGAATACTTCGTCTTCAAAAATAGCTATTTAATTAATAAAATCCACATAGCTATAAAGTTCCTCAATAGTATTGTCACAAGAATCTGTCCCCGTATCCAACAAATAACCTCTTTTTTGAATTATTTCTTTTAAAACTTCCTCTACTTCAAAATCAAATTGATTACCATTAATTCGCAGTGATGTTAAGGTTGTGTTCACGTGAAGAGAATTTATTAATGCTTTTTCTGCATCATTGCCAAGAACATTATATGAAAGATCTAAGGAAATTAAAGTATGATTTTTTTGAAGAGCATCTGCTAGTGCTAGTCCATCCTCAAACCCAAGGTAGTTAAGGTAAAGATCTAAAGTAGTTAATGTATTGTTTTTGCAAAGAGCATTTGCCAATGCTTTTCCTTTATCGGAGCCAAGCTGATTAGATGAAAGATTTAAATAAATTAAACTGCTATTTTGGAAAAGAGTATCTGCTATTGCTTTCCCTCCGTAAGAACCAAGGTTATTATTTGAAAGACCTAAAAAAGTTAAAGTGTCATTTTTGCAAAGAGCATCGGGTTCCAAATTATTATTAGAAAGGACTAAAGTAGTTAGTGTATTGTTTTTGCAAAGAGCATTTGCTAACACATTTTCTTCTAGCAAACCAAGATCATTATTTAAAAGATCTAAAAAAGTTAAAGTGTTGTTTTCGTGAAGAGCATCTGCTAATGCTTCTCCACCTTCACATCCAAGTTTGTTACAGTAAAGGTTCAAAGTAGTTAACGTATTGTTGTTGTAAAGAGCGTTTGCTAATGATTTTTCTATATCAGAGCCAAACTGATTATATGAAAGATTCAAATAAACTAAACTGTTGTTTTTGAAAAGAGAGTTTGCTATTGCTTTTCCTCCAAAAGAACCAAGTTTATTATTAAAAAGACTCAAAGTGCTAAGCTTCTTACTTTTTCATAGAAACATTAAAATTAAAGAAAGTTTAACAGCTATTACGGGATAACTTTCTTCGCGCTCCTTAAGAAAATTTAGCACTTCTCTACTCAGATGCTGACCATTGATAGATGTAATATAACTTACATATTCAAACAATGGCTTTGAATTATTTTCTGAAAAGTTAATTTTAAATGGGACTAACTGTGCTTGTTCATCGGCATTTAGTACTAAAAGACAGATTCCGATAACTCTTCTATATTTAAAACAAGGAGCTCTCCATAATATTGGTACAATAATTCTACACCATTTACGATTTACAAGAAGGCCTGAAAATAAGGTTTTGGGATCATTCTTTAGGCATTCAAATATTTTTAAGAGAACTTCATTTGATAAATATGTGATAGAACTGACAAGAGTTATTCTTTATAAAAATGGTTCGAAGAGTATTTTCACGTTGGGCTCTTTTCTACGTTGGGTTCTTTTCAACAATTTAATTCTAAAGTCTGGTTTTCCTTTTATTTTAAAAGGCTTACACGTGATCTTTACTATATAAATTAATGCTGCTTTAAAAAAGATCAAAAAATCGAACTGAATACTAATTCTCTTAAAGATTATCTCTTGGATTATACAATATCGATATCAGTTATTCTTTGAACTGGTTTTACAGTAGCTATAATCTCGATAGTATAAAAAATTACTAATTCTATTGTTATGATAATATAAAAACTACTCTAATTTTAGAATGGTTATACTACATATTAAACTACAGTATATAATAAATATAATTTTCCTGTTCTATTTAACAGATCTGCGATATATTGTATAAACATACTACTATGCACAATATAGAACAATGGAAATAAAAACTTGCCTATTGCGTGTTCTTTCTCAATAGTAAAATGATATATATTCTTTAGCTAATTTGATTAACTTCATGATCACATGATTTGTTCGAATTTAATTGGTTAAAAAATTGTTTCGTAGTTGATAATCTTGACCAATCATCAATTGATGCGATTAACCAATCATAAAAAAGATCTAAAAATTGCGGGAACAACTTAGTCATGAATTATGTCATTTTTATAAATTATAGCAAATATCTTTTCTCTAAATGACAATAAAGCAGACAACTAATCGAAAAGAAGGAAAAATTAAACTTAAGTTCATAATAATTGCAAATCAAGCATATGTACAGAAATTTTTAAAGCATGAAATACTTGAAGTTAGAAACGTAATTTATTTTATTAAAATAAATTTTGAGACTCGGGAGTAAATCACTTATTATTATCACAGAAAATAAATGGATTAAGTCTCAACAAATATTTATAAACCAATCTTATATAGCTTCTTTGTATTTTTATAATTATTTACAACTCTGAAAATTGTATTATTTTTTTTGTATTTTTTAAGTTCAGCAACTAGACGTTTATACTCCAAATGCAAGTTATGATTCAATATTTCATCATCATCTAATAAAAAATAACTATTAGATAAATAACTTAAATCACATGTGTCACTATGGTATTAAATACATTACCCCGCTGGAAATTATAATTTGGTTCTGGGAATTTGTCAAGATCGATATTGATTGTAGTGCTAACAGCTTTATAATTTTTAATTTCTTCTTTCAAGCGGTTAATTTCTTCGACCACTTTAAAATGTTTTTGAAGACAGTTTTCTTTTAATGCTAGAAATACATGAGTATACGCATTAACTTAAGTGATTTTCTGCTTAATGTCAGTTGATAGAAATGAAATTATATTCTTACTTTGGTTTGGAACCGAGTACTGATTGTCATTTTTGCAAAACATTATATCGGAAATTTCAATCTAATGAATTCCTGTGTCAACGAGTTAAAATGTTAATGTTAGAATCCTAAGTTTTATAAAACTATAATATGCGAACAGAGTTTCTTCTACATGTTATCTGCTCAATATTTCTGAAAAAATTATTACCTAGGTATTCAAAGAACCTTTCTTGCCATTGGCGAAAAATAAGAGATGAATAAGTAAGTCAATTTATCAAATTTCTGTTCGTGAATTCCTGTGTAAACAATATAAAATAAATAAAAATTTTTCTAGGGTCTATACAGTACGTACATATAGTATAATTACCATATATTTATTAGTTGTGACCCTAACGTTAAATTTTTTTAAAAAAGCAGGTTTAAAAAATATATAAGATTTGCAATATAATAATTATAATACAATATATATATATCTGGACATAAAAAATCTTGCTTTATGATATTTTTTTCTCGATAGTAAAATGTGTATATATGCTATTAATATATTAATATATAATGCATAAAACTTATCAGAGCAGCTTTTGCCATTCTATTTCCAAAATTTTGGCTTTTCTAACTTGTAAGAATGAATATATGTCAAGAAGATTCTAAACAAAATGTACGACCTCATTCATTCAAAGTTTACATGACTTTCGAAATTCTTGCTTTCGGAGCTTATACTAGTTTGTATATTGTTAGGGTATGTTTATTTATTTTAAAATCATGTAATATGCATTGTCGCTATCATTGTCGCTATCATTATATAATAGTATATTACTATTTAATTTTATATGTGACCCTTAACGTTAAATTTTTTTAAAAACAAGTTTAAAAAATACATAAGATCTGCAATATACTAATTATATATTATAGA